ATTTGTCAGATTAATTCGAAATTATTATATAAAAATTAAAGTTATATAAATTAAATAATGGAATTAATTTTGCAAATATAAGTTCATTAAAAATTCCCTTCAAAAATAAAAGATTATTAGTATAAATCTTCAACAAAATCCAATATAAACATTTGAGTGTGACGTGCCAAAGCTCAACTCAATATATTTAAAAGAATAATATTAGTCATTTTCGGCATAATATAGGAGAGAGATGAATTATATTAATTACCATATAACAACAAAATAGATAACTTATTTCGCTAAAGAAAGACAATTTAAAATTTTTGACATCATAGCATATAGGGATCCAGACTATTTCTGCAAAATACCAATCGAGAGAGTCACCTAAAAATATTCTAAGCGAACATGAGTGACAAAAACAGAGAGCTATCATGGCAACAGGTGAGTAGGGACATGCAAAACAACTTAAGAACTATGATTATTAGCAAATACAGTTAACTATCTACTTACTACGTTGGAGAAAGAGAGTACAAGATGCTATGGGTCACAAAGACCTAGAACGTTGGGAATAATAATTACTTTAAATTTTATAACCTATTCATATGTAAAGTATATTTAGTTTTAAATTAAATAAAATATTAATAATTGTTGAGTATTGACCACATAGTTACTATACAAAATTTAACAGGGCATCAGTGGAATTAAACGCTTCTCCGCTTCTTCCTATATTTGTGGATTTCGAAAAGCTTTTAACGGGGTAAAGCGAGGATTTATTTGTAAAGCCTTAGAGGCTAGAGATATACCTACGAAAGCCATCAACATAATTAAAAACAGCTGTTAGGACACATCGTGCCAAGTGCTACATAATGGTGAATGGAGTGAGTCGTTTCCATCTTTTAGCGGGGTCCGTCAGGGATGTTCGCTGTCCCCACTTTTCTTTATAACAGCACATCTACGGTTCTAGAAACGGTTTATATGCAGCAATATGGAATTGACTAGGGGCTGAGCAATAAGCTTGGTCATCTTGAACGACCGCCAAACCATTAATCAGGTATACAAGAGCAAATGACATCGCTGCAGCAAAAATGTGCTAAAGTGGACCTAAAAATCAATATCTTCAAGACCAAATCTATGCGCATCAACTCTAATAATAATGCTTAAATTGATATAAATGGTATAAACACTGAAGATGTCATTCAATTTGAATACTTTGGTAGTATGGTCATTGGAAATTATCTAGTATTCATCTCAAAACGAAAATCAAAATTTTCAACGGCTGCGTCAAATTTGTTTTCCTGTATGGATCTGAGACTTGGCATATGACTTCAGCTATCACTCATAAATTGCAAACGTTTGTAAATATGTTAGATGTCTGCGTCAGATTTTAAGAATATGGTGGCCACGAACTATTACCAATGAACGCATCATGACACGCACTAACCAAAAACCAATTGATAAAGAAATAATTCACAGGAAATACGGATGGCTGGGGCATACTCTTTGCAAGCCAAACACCGAAATTGTTCATGCTGCACTCGAGTGGAATCCGCAGAGAAAAAGAAATCCGCAGGGAAGAAGAGGATAACATAGAGTACAACCATCAGTAAAGAAACGAGCAAATCATTTAGTGAGCTGAGAGCAGTAGCGTACGATCGTAGTAATTGGCAATCTCTTGGGAGTAGATTAAGTTCGTAAATGTTATTTCTGAACATGTCAATAATAATAATAATAATAATAATAATAATTTAAACAATGCAGTTTTATGTTATATGATCATCAATATTCAAAATTAAATTGGCAAATAAAGAAGAGGATAAACTATATATGTACCCATATAATATAATTTTAGTTTGAACTGATATCATCATTATTTAGAAAAAATATTTAGAAAATGATTCTAAGCTTCGCATTTGGCAGGACCCGAGTTCGAATCCTGGTACTTGCAGTCTCAAAAATTATTATTTACGAATAATTAAAAACAAGAATTATTTCCAAGACCACTGATGATGAATATTTGGCAATACTCGAAACAGCTGTATGGTCAGCCAAAAATTCAATTAATTAAAATAATATAAAAAATAAAATTTTTGTTGTTGTAGTTCACTACTGTTCGAAAAAACTTCTTTATGAAAATAAATTTATATACATTTAAGCAGACGAAATTTGTCGTGAAACTAATTGGTAATGATTTCGATAACGTCATAACTTAACTATATATCGTTAATAAATAATTTTTGTGAACTATTTGTTTGGATAAATGGAGTATTGGGGTTACTGAATTTATAAACAGACTTTTGGAAATTGATTACTGTACGGCATTGAAGTTACTAGGTTATTATACAGAATTTTGTTAATTTTTATATTTTTATGTCTTCTATAAAATTTCGTAAGTTTATCAAACTTTTTGTTCTTGATTGTCACTGTTTTTTGTTATTATAATTTTGAGCATGACAACAGAATTGTAAAACCACTATTGTGTTAAAATGATCAGAAAACCACATTTTTATAGCTTTTTACTTATACGTTGGGTCACTATTGTGTCAGAAAATCCTTATTACTTATAAAATGTCCTCAGTACCACTGTAATAGGAAAAGACTTCTTAATACAGAAATGTTTTTAAATTTATTCGCAATACCATTAAATTGGTATTATGATCAAAAATCATATGATCAAATGCATTGATCTTAAAGCATAGGATCAACGGTACACAAGCGCAGCAACATATTGCCATCACAATGCTTAATCATAAGCTAGAAATGTTAGAGACTACTAGCGAAGTTTTTCGAACAATATACATAGGATTTGTCATATGTTAACAATCTTTTATATCAAATTGAATGGAAATAAGCTCCCAAATTCTAGATGTGATAAAAGGTTTCTTTCTTCGGTGACATATTACGCGCCATGAAATATTATTAAAAATTATGAATACTGTGATTTTTTCATATTTCATTATATATTTAAAATTGTTTTTTTCGCAAATTTTTCGCTAATACTGATACATTTCTACCTTTTCTGTCCTTTCACGTTATCGAGTTTAAAATTGAAGCCAACTCAGACAAACTATCTGATAAGTATATTAGATATATTTTAAATTACAGAAAAGATTGTTGGGTTCTGTGGAACGCACACTAATTCGGAATCACACTCCCACAAATCAAGTGCAATATTTATTCCATGAGGAAGATACGCTGGGCGTCAATGTATGCTTCTATAAAATTATTCGAATACTTATTATAAAAATTCAAAGAAGCTCAGTGAATCATCTAAATGGTTACCGAAAATATTGAGTAAAATTGCTTTAGACACTAAGACATGTTAGATCAAGCAAAGAATAAAATAAATGAAAAACCCGAGCTCACTAGAAAAACGGCATTCACTTATTCATTTATAAATAATTTTCAGTAAGCCGTCCATAATAATTTTTCTGTTGGTATTTATATTAATTTACATTTTTGTATATAGACTATAGATATAAAAATAATACTAACAATTCCTTTTATTTTATATACATACATATATATACATGTATAGAACACACTTTAAATGGTTCTGCTTTCTGTTACAGGCAGCTATGAAAAAAAAATTAGTCTAAAAGT